TTTATTGCCATAGTTGCACTGTAGATATTCTCTGCATCATGTATTTCAATAACGCACTCATTGCAAGCTTTCATGCTGAACACTGAAAGTAAGCAAGTCAGTAAACTTTATGTGGACAGAAGGTACGTTGAGATTCAAATTAAGAACAACTATTTATTTAAGTTTTCTCCAGCTGCTGCAATCATTGGCTGGAAGCATTAAGGCATGTGAGCTTCTCTGTCTTAGCTGTTTAGGTAAAAAAAAAAAACTTGTGCTTGTTGTTATCACTTTGTGTACTTTAATATTTAAAAAAAAATACTTGGTTTGCAAACCTGCTGTTCCACTTCATAGAACAACTTAACACACTACCCACAGTCTTTCCATGAAGAGAAGAAAAAGTTAACACTTTTAAAAGTTAACCACAAAGTTAAAAGTTAACCACAAAGACAAGAACACATTCCAAAACACATTTTCAAGACCTCAAAATTTGCTTTGCTTTTAAACATTGCATTTTGCTTCTTATTTTACATTTTTCTGTTACAAAAATGATAAACAACAGGATATTGTACAAAGCAACATACACAGATGTCACCTAGGCACAATCTGGTGTTCTATGAGAGATTATCAATCTTCTTCCTACTACATGCACTGGTAAAAAAAAACTTAGTACCATGTGAAATAATAACATGAAACATGAATGCAAGCACATGTGGTGTCACAGACTTTGTTTACATAGCAAGTAGTGAGGTGAATTAGAGCAGATTAGTAGATCAAACCATTTAATGCCAATGCTTTTTACCTCTTCCACTAAATGTTATTTGAGGTTTATTTTAGACTAGACTTAGCCTTGTTCACTGCAGCTCAAAGTTTTCTGATGGAAAGCTATCCTACGGATCTTTGCTCCCTTGACTGAAGGGAAGCACTTCCTCTTCTAGGAAGTGTCATGCTGTCCCTTTTATCTGTTTCATGCAGATGACAGTAGCACGTCAGTCCACACATCACCAGTAGGCTCCACCATGAAATTTCTGTAAGCCCTATATTCCATATCTCTGGTCACAGAACCAAAACATATGCCACTACTTTCTTGCCAAGAAGGGACAGGATCGTTCATGATGTCCTCAATGACAATGAGCATCATGAGAGATGCTGCATACCCCTGCACCCCACACCATAAAGTACACTCTGACAATGGTGCAGCACAGGCCTAATTTAATGGTGCTTTTACTGAATGCATAATGGAAGTGCAATCAACTTGTGGTCATCTGAAAGACACTGGGCTATGTGGGACAGACACCGTGTTTCCAATACCTTCCAGAAAATTCAGGATATCACTTCTAGTCTGAACCATCTGTGAGGACATCTTTGAGACCTTCCTTCAGACTGAAACACTGAGCACAGCTTCTGCAGTATGCGTATGCTCAGTTCTCTGCTCTCTTTGTCATAGGTGGGCCATCCAGCAATGCATTTGTGTCACAACTTTGTCTTCTCCTTCACTGAAGACAGTCACCAATCCACTCAGCATTCATGAGTGCATGGCGTGCAATGGGAGGAATACCACTGGACATCAATGTCTTTCAAACTGGCAAATGTTATGCAATGATTAAAAAGGAACTGGTTCCCAATACTTCTCTCCGTCCTTGGTTTTCCCCTCCTCCACACCTGTGTGCTTCACACACTCCCTTGCTGCATTCAATCCATTTGTTTTGGGTAAACCTGGTTAATCCAATCCTTATCCCAGCCCGCAGTGCCCTTCCCTCTATGACCTTTCCCAAGTGTGACTTGGGGCAGAGGAAGAGATCATATATTGCCAACAACCATTACCTTAACCACTGCATTTCAAAGAAATGTAATCATCCTGATTGGTATTTTTTGTATAAGCAGCTGATTGCAGGGCAGGGACAGGATCTGACATGTGGCCAGAAGTACCAGCACCGCTACCGCCACTGAGTAGGTCCTTTATATGCTGCATTTGAGACAGTGCGGCTGGGTTTTTGTGCAGGAGCCGAGGGGGGCTGTGCTATCAAGGCAGGCCATGTCCACGGCTTATGCGGTTGCCAGGACTGCGCCTGGCACATAGGCAGAGCTGGGACAGGGTAAGTGGTCTCCGAGGGAGCTTGTTCCTCCACAGAACTTCCCTCACAGCTCACGGCCCCTGGGGAATCGTCTCTCAAGGTGTAGCAGCTCTCACAGTCAATCCAGAGACCTACACCACCTTTCCGCAGCTCTGCGATCAATGCCCTAATTCTACCAGAAACCTCCTAAACACAGTCCCACGCTCAATACATGTATAGGAAAGGAGTACGTGCACTTTACTCAGGCGGGCATCCGGACCACCAGTTTACAGTTCCCATTGCCTGCCGTGGCAGAGAGTGGGCCAAGGGGATGTTCCTGCGTGTTGTTTCGCAGGGGTCCTCTGCAGGTTGTAGGCATGTAGATGTTTGCAGCAGAGTAGGCATGCTTTTCCCTGGACTTTTCTCCCAGACTGCTGGTCTTGGGACCAAGGATGTGGATGTCCTCATGAGCAGCAGGCTTGGCAGAGCGCTCTCCCCTTCCCTGACCATCTGTTCAAGATCTCTGTGGTAGGGGCACACACACTGTGCCACCTCTGAAACATGGTTGTCCCACCTCTTCAAGAAGATGGTTTTCATCTGCTTGAAATGAATGCAGCACCACTTGTCAGTCCTCTTCCACTTGGCAGCTGGCTTGACATTAGCAACAGGGTGGTGCATCTGCTGGAGAAACTTTTGGGCCTTTTAGAGCACATGCTGTCAAGCTCTGGGTTGCCCCTAGCTCAATATTCTGGGAGGCCAAAGCAACAGTTGTCACTACTGCAAAATGTAGCAGTAGGAAAGGTGGAATAATTTTAATCATATTGTAAGATGTCGGTCATAAACGAGGAACAGCAAAAGAAATACGGCTGGTGAAAAAGATAGAAGCCAAAGCTTGGAAGAAATAAAGGAGCAGCTGAAAGTCAGAACAAGCAGACATCTGGCGGCCATTAGAAAATATGAAGTCACACATAGCATTTGGCCCTTTTGCATAGCACAAGAAGTACTTCAGAATAAGGTGGGAACTCTTGACAGTTTTAAAGCTTTCTGTTGGCACATGTACTTTTCATTTGCTCTGGAGAACTTCACAGCAGTGCAGTGCCACTCATTGGATCCCACCCTTTTATCCCAAGTGGCAAAGCTTCTGTCTTAGCTTTCTCTGTAAAGATGTCATTCATATGTCTAAAACCACTCTGTGAGCCAAATCAATAAGCAAGGACAATCAGAGGACTTATTTCAGAACTGCACTACTGCTGTAATTTGAAATATCATGTACACGCACCCCTAATGACCATTGCTTTTCTGGACTTGAGGATTCTTGACCTGCTTCAAGAGGCGTCTTCTGCTTGTGAGAATCTCGCTTATAAGTTTATAGAGTGAACTTTGAGCAGCAAAGTATACTTCTAACTTCCAAAACAGGATGCAGGAAGCACTAGTCAGTTCTGTAGTCTTTGATGCAGTGGCATCCAAACAATTTTGGAGGCAACCTCCTCCAAAGGATTCAGAAACATATTTACTCAAAATTCAAGCACAATCCCAGTACCAGCTACCCACCAACAGCAGTGTATAAGTTCATAACAGTGAAGCACATCTCAACCAATACCAACTTAACTGGTTGTGCAAACACCAAAGGATTGTTCTGATAATGCTTGTTCCTGAAAACAGTAACAATCTATTTCTGTTCTAGTGTGGTCATCTTCACTTGTATGGTGTATTAGCAGGAAGATGGAGAAAGTTTAATCATAAATACACATTTCCTTATGCAGAACTTCTGCACTTATGATGGTCTGTAAACCAGTATGTTTCCACCATGTCATGCTGACTCCCCTGCTCCACAAACACTGGGTACAGATGGTGCTCTAACAACTGCTATATCCACAATGTCATCAAAGCTTGTTTCATATGCTTTTTCATACCCTCAGTATCAGTACATTCACTATACTTTTGCAGTTCTTGTATGCTCTGCCATGAGTTACCATTAGATTTCCTTTAATGGTTCACACGTTTCTAATTACCACTACAAATCAACAGAGGTGATCAGCACGACACAATGGCAGAGCTAAAACAACTTCTGCCTCTAGGACCATTGAAAAAGACAGAACAATTACTAGGTGGGCTTCACTCTGCATAGCATTGAAGAAGCTGGGATATATCCAGACTTCTTCATGTCAGGTGAATCCAGGCAACCACGTCTCAGCATGCTTAAGAGCTAACAATGTAGTGCTACAATGTCTTTCACTATCACCTATGGATACTGGATTCACTCCCTGAAGAATAAAGAAGATGGTTCAAGCAACACTGTATCTTCTTGTCTGGCTATGAGAGAATCAATAATAACTTCTGAAAAAGTAACAATGTAAGGCAGCGTGATTGCTTTTTTGAGCACCAAAGTTAGGATGCAGCAGGCCACTGTAATTGGACTAGTCTCCTCTCCACACCACTGAGCTTCAGCCCCCAAGGAGAAGGACCAAGCCCTGAATGTCATCTGAGTCTTGGCTTCAGGTGCCTTGAGTAGTAGGGGGAGGAAAGAAGAGACAAGTCTCCTTAAGAGTTTTGGCTCCAACCATACAGCTCCCAATTGCCTCCAACTCAGATCCAGTAAGAATTTGTCATCTCCAGACACGCAAAACACAACATCCGCTCCTAGATCCATAGTAAAGGTAGTGTAATGGCCTGTGGCTGAAGCCTCAGCAACACTCCACCATCTGCCATTTATAGGTCTGCTGTTTTGGAGTTCCTTGCCCCACTGACCATCACCAGTCACACAGATGAAGTAGACAAGTTTGAAGGATAGTGAAGTAAGTTTTCCTTACAAATCACTGTAATAGAGAGAAGAGTATAAACACTGAAGATATACACACAATTTAAATGTATATGGCATGAAGACTGGACAGGAATAAACAGGATCATCAGAATCATCAACGGGAGGAGATGCTGCCTTTTCAACGGCTGGCTTTTTGGAATGGATCATACCTCATACAAAACTGTAGTATTCCCGTGAAGGAGAGGTCCATAGCAAATGTAGGAATGACCAACAACCCAGCCTAAATCAGAAGCTGCCCACCACACCTAAAATGAAATAAAAACATAAATCTAGCGGGGAGTTTTTAAGAGGAATTCAAAAAAACTTACATGACATTTAAACAGAATTACCTCACCAGGTTTGAGTCCATACACAGCTGACATTGTCCAGTTCAGCATAACTGCATAGCCACCTGTTGGTCTGACAACACCCTAAATGAGAAAATTTGAATATTTAAGATCATTTGAAGGATGCAATGATATTCCTGTCTTCAATGAAATTTGGGGGGTTTTAGCAGTAATAGACTTAAAAGTTGTTTAATTCCAATACTCCTCACTTAAGAAAAGGATCTGTTCCCACAAGTACATTGTGCTAGCGTTCCCACTGAAGAAGTAATTTTGGAAAACAAACAACAAACAAACATACAATAGAACAAACAAAAAAAAACAACTCAAGCCCTAGATGACAATAGTTTTCAGAAGATAACAAACACTAGAATTGTCTCATTAAAATTGGATATACAAATATTTAATCAACATATGCTGACAAAAAATAAGAGATTGAGTATTTACCTCACTTAAACCGTGGCCATCTAAATGCTAAGCATGTTTCACACTCATTGTCTAGTCTATCATCACTGGAAAAGAGGATCACCTGTGGAGTAGCCGATGACTAAAATAACTGGGGTGAATTACTCCCTGAAATTTACCCCTCCTTCTGCACCGACTCTTTTTAAAGATGTCAGAAAATTGGCTTAAACCAGATGTCTATTTTTGAAAGGTTTAATATCTAGCCTGAAGCATACATAAGAATGCAAAATGAAGAACAACCCAGTATTACTCTAAAAGAGGGATTCGAAAATTAGAACCAGGGAGTATCAATAGCATCATGCACCTTGGTAAGCCAAAACCGTCTCTGGAACACCGTTAATAAGAAAAACTTTGAAATATTTTGTAATATTTGTACGTTTAATATACATTTCATCATCTTGTAGTACACTGTTTCTAGAAGACAGAATTAAGTAAACTATGTCCTGATATCCTGAACTAAAATTCAGGTGAGATTCATCTGACCAAACAAATGTCTACAGCGCAGACATTACAATGCAGCTATCTGTTTGTGCTAGGCATGGTACATTTTCTTTTTGTAGGCACTTTCAGGCCTCGTCCAAGAAAGGAGGGACTGTAGAGACATACTAACTCATTAAAATGGAGGTTGCCACAGCAGAGAATGGTTAACCAACACTTCACAAATTTCAGAAAGCAGAGTGCCTTTGTTAGTCTCAGCTTCTAACTTAGTCCCTGCTCTAAGATTAACAAAAGTTTTGTTATGAAGGTCATAAGTAAGTAATTTTACCTAAATGACCATTTAAAAGCAAGTTCCTTAAATGAATAAAAAAGTTATTTTATATTCATATGTTATTTATACTCATTGCAGCTTAGTGCTAGTTGACATTTTCCCTCTTATAAGGGTGATTCATTCAAGGTGTCTATATTTTTCTCTGGAGAGCCAACACAGTGAAGCAAACTTCTGAGAAATTTGTCTCTGAGATACTATATTTTGAAACTAACAATCAAGGAACTAACAATCAAAGGATCTTATTTTGGACCTTTTGACAATATAATTAAATGATACACATGTTGCTTTAAAGTGCCCATGTTCAAGGCAAAAGCAGAAGACATTTTTCTCACCAAAATTGTGTTTGTTTTCCCTTACCTCTCCACAGATTCTGAACTTTATAGGCCACATCATTAAATAACTTTCTAGTAGTAGTCTAAGCACTACCATATACAGCGATGTGTGATACTGTCTCTGAATTTGTGGTGGTAAGATCACCGCCAGAAAATTATACTCAGCTTCTACACTTTAAGAGAGAACTGTAGGTACCAAGCAAACACTCAAGAGTTTGCTTTTAAAGTAAGATCTTTTAAAAATAGATCATTAAGACTAATTGACATTTGAAAGCAAACATTTTCAAAGAATGCCGTATGTCAGTTTTCACTTACTCAATCTAAACTTTCATTTTCATGGGAATTATGTTCTCAGAACTGTTCAGTAACACAAGCCTCCAGAACATGCTTAATTCCATTCATTACATCTTACCTATGGGAAGATTAGCTAATACATAAATAATGAATAAGCAAGGACTATTCAGCAATATATGCTATCACACAAGTACTATATTAACTAATCTTGCCATTAAGTGACTATACTACACTTATCTCAAACAGTTAAAACATCATCTTTTAATGGATAAAAGACATTCTGTTGTCCTCAAAAGTTTATACTGCACAAACATTTTGAAGTAAATGCAGTTTATTTTACTACTATTTAAATAAACAAACACAATTTATTCCTAGACACTGACTTTAAAGTGGTGAAATGCGAATAAATGAGATTAAACCATTTCTAGCAATGCTTATCACTTATAGCACTGAGCACTGGCAAACATTTTCAACCTTTTTAATTAAATATTTTTTCAAGTGGAACTGCAAATATGTTGGTCACAGATGCTTAGACTACAGATAGTCCTTTACCTTGGGCAAGCCTGTTGTTCCAGATGTATACAGAATATAAAGTGGATGGTCTGAGGGAACGGAGACACATTTGTAACATTGTGCTTTTGCAAGCTCTTCTTCCCAGTCAAGATCACGACCTGGGGTAAGAGGAACATGGCCCTGCCCATTGAAAAACAGAAAAGTGTCAAAAGAAAAACAGATGGAATAAATGGAAGTAGGTCAAAAAACATGTACTATTCCATTTTCTGTACAGGACTATTCAATTTTCTGTACAGTAATCTCTCTGCTGCATTAGTTCTATTTACTGTTTAAATCTTATGAATATAAAATTCCCCCATAAAATTCAAAACCAAACTACAAACAGAAACACCAAAAATTTTACTTGTAAAAGAGAAAAGGCACGTGCATTACCTACACATCTGAAAGTTAACATAAAGGCACAACAACTGTACACCCACCAAATTCGGTCGCTTGTAAATGAGAACTTTATCAGGTTTGCTCTGTACCCTTGCCAGTGCTCCTTCCAGGAGGGACATGTATTCCACTTTCCTTTTCGGTTCTACTCCAAAACTTGCTGTTACAATGAGTTTGGGCTAAAATAAAGAAGTTAGATTGTTAGTATATGCATTTGCAATATATTTTATATATGTAACCTAATAATATGTTTTCTATGAAACTATTTGGTTAATGACACTCAATGTATAAAATCTATCTTCACATAATTAGAAACAGGGGTTTAGATCAGTTTTCTAAGGAAATCAAGCTTGTGTGATCTTGCTGTCCATGCATCTGTTTTTTGTTCAGGAGCACACTAACAACTTCTGACATTCTTCACCATTTTCAACCACATTTGAGTAAGAAAACAACAGTATTAAGTTCTTGTAAGTTGCACAAAAATTAACGAACAGAGAGAAAAACCCATCCCCATCTTAGCCCCTCCATTAAGGAAAAGTGGTACAGTGATGTCAACAATTATCTGTCCTGTTTAGCCTGATTTCTAATTATCTGCCTGCACACAATGGCATATTTCAAAACTAGCTATAGCACTTTGCTGGCTCTTTTCCAGCCTGCAATTAAATGGCACAGGAGGGAAAATAGAGGAAAGAGGAAAAAGAAGGCAAACAAGAGATGACAGGAAGCTAGAAATACAGGAAGAGAATAAGCTGAAGTCATAAGGCTCATGTGGAAAGTAAAGCTAGAGTCTTTCAAGGGATGGTTGCAGGACTTGGGATGCAAACCACTAAAAATCAGATTTCTGTAGTTCTGGGTTTTTTAAGAATAATTTCTATTTCCAAATGTGGATTTAGCATCTTTGTCATTAAATTAACCCCAGGTTTTATGTAAGATTTCCTAAGTCAAGAAATCTGCATACAAACTATCTTGACTTAGGTCCCAAGATCAGTATTTTTATTTCTTTTATTTCAGGAAATAAAAGGTAGCACCAAAGAAACTGTGTTAGAACACATGTTAATTGGAGATGAATGGGTCTTCAATCTCCTTGCTTTTGGAGTTTTTGAAGTATATTTATCTTATGCCCCTCAGTTTAATCAAATTAGTTTACTAATTGTATGCATCAGCAGAAATCTCATTAAGTAGGCACAAACCACAATGCCACAGTAAGGCTGCATTAAACTCAGCACAGAAAGCACAGATTAAATTGTTTTCTTGTGCAATAATAAAATGTTTCCTGTCCAAATCTGCCATTCAGGGAAGTTTGCTAATTAGTTTGTATTCAAAATAAAGATTTCAGATGAGCTTTAAAATTTCAGCATCTGCCATCTTTCTCTTTTGGGATGCACTGACTTTATTAAAAGATGACGCAATACAATGCAGATAAACTGAAAATTCATCGGGAGGCTACCCTGAAATTAGACTGTAATTAATGTAAGATATTAACACAGTTCTATTCAACTGTTAAGATGAAAGATTGTTGTCAATGTCAGGTTTACAGTCATTTGTAAACAGTGCCGCCTCTGCTCATCAACTACTTTGTATGCAGTAAGGAAGTCTAAAAATAACCAATACCAAACTGGCTAAGGTGATGTATTTCCCAAGTGAGCATTACTACTTGGAAGCATCATGGATCACCCTGTGTAAATCAAAGCTCCATTACTGGCTTTAACTGCTATTTTCTAGTGTTTTACCTCTCTGCCTACTGACATTACTTTCCCTGCATCTCTGCTCCCATATTGCTTTTATATACCCATTTCCCACCTCTTCTGTGGCTCCATGTAGTCCTGCACAATAAGATTAGATAAAAATATAACTAGTTTGAAGGAAAACCAGGGAAGTTCAAAGGTTTGCTGGTGAAGGAATGCCAGCGATAGTGAGCTGTAGGAAAAAAAAAACAAAATGAAGAAGTAGAAATGAGATAAAGCAAGGCCTGATAGTACCAGACCAACAATTTTATTCTGTTGTAAAGACACCTCCTACAAATTCTTCTATAGTTTCTAATGGCATATAAGGCAAAGTTTAGAAAAAGCAATAAATACGTTTTATTGGGCCAACTAACAAAGCTACAAAAAGCCCAAACTGAAAACCAGCTACCTGTGGGGCACAAAATGCCAGGAGTGTCATGAAACGGTTTACAGAGAGATCCAGCACTCAGGCCCTCACTATTCAACACAAAGCTCTTTTCAATTTGTGCTACAGCCACACATCTAATCACAAACCTATGTTCAAACTTACTGCACTTTTGTTGTGCCTCCCTCCTCCTTAAAAAAAGTGACATGCATTTTAAAGAAATCCAGTGCTTGTGCAGTCATTACATAGTTCTGCCGCACCTGCTGGTACTGCTCTGGCTTTGTGGTTAGATGATCCATGTCAGATTGCCATACACATTTAGTCCTGCCAGATATTACACAGTGCTCTAAAGAAAGAGACCTGAATCATACCATACAAGTAGTTAAAAATAAAATGCAAGATACTGCCTTCTAATCTACAATACATATTCCAAAAATAAACAGTGCTTCAAGAGAAGACAAGACAGGGCTGCAACTATTATAAGGCGATTGCGCATCTTATGTATCAGCAGCTGAGCTTGCTGCCTAATCACTCAAAAGATTGGATCACCTTATGATGAGAAGTAGGGGTAACCATTCATAGCCATACCTGTGCTCAGGAACTATGTCTTATTCAGAACTAACTATTACAAAATATTAGCTCATTTTTTTCACGGAAACTTTATTAAAGTCTCCAAATGTGTCAACTGTAAATAAGTGAGGAATACAGTATTTCTGGAATGGAAGATAGTAACATATAGTTTTAAATAACTTGGGTCTGTCCTATGCTTTGTATTTCAAAGAATTGTTGTTCAATTGCAAATCATAATACTGCTTTAGTGAAGCATTTTCAAAAATTACATGTCTGAAAAACGCCATTACTTGCATTTTGTTTTGCAGGGTTTGGACTTAAAATCTAAAAAGCCCTCTGGAATTGCTATATAATTATTGTGATTCAAAAAACATGAGAAAATTTGGTTGTTGAAGGCATAGCAACAACCCTATCAAATAGGCATATAAGCATATTGTTCTTAAGTATCCTTCTCAGTTTTCCTAGTTTACTAAGATAAAGTGCTTAAACAGATGTCATGTTAATTTCTCAAAATATAGTTAATGTCCTTCAAAAATATCTATTGTTTCGATTTGCAAACTATATATTCCCAGATTCAGGTGAAAAGAAAGATGACAAGAAATGCCTGTTCCTATGCTCTGTATCACTTCATCACAATTCACCACAGAATTAACTGCCAATACCTGACAAGAGTGAAAATTATCAGCTGCAGGACTTTGCAGCATTCCCAGACCTATTTAAAATTCAAGATAAATTAAGGTAAAGTATATGTACCTTTTCATAGCCACTAGAAAGTGCTTGTTATTTCTTTCACTTAGATCTTCCAATAAAATGTGAATTTTGACCTTTCTTCCACAAAAGCATCTCACAGCCAGCTTTCCACTCCACATCTTTAACTCTTTCTAGAATCTTACCAACATTAGGTCCTGTACTTCAGCATCTAAACCAACTCACATAGAAGCCTAATAGAAAGGTTAGGGTGTTTTGAGACTGCTTCAATTAACTTCTGAGTTCAGCAGAATACCATCTATCACAGCTACTTATATACATATCTTAAAAATAATCTCAGTAGTGTGCAATTCACTTATCAAGAAAGCTTTACAGTATTGCAAAATTGGGGCATGCTTTGAAATTTAGATTGAGGATGTGCCTCTCCTCTTTACTTACACTTTCATTACGCATCAGATGATAGACCAAAAATGATCCAAAATATTTAGATGTGCCTTTTAAAGAAAAAAGAAAAAGGCTATGCAAATTAGGATTTAATCCATGGCCTGCAGCTAGTAATTCTATAGCTAACCCTGCAAAAGATGTGCTGTGTGACCTTGGGTAAATCACTTAAACTTATCTCTGTTTTCTTTTTAATGCATGAAGAAAGGATTATGGTTACTGTGCTGTCTCCCTTTGTTCCTCAGAGAAAGTCCATTGGGATTAATTAGTTAATATTTGCAAAATACTCTAAAAGTAAACATGCTAGATGATTCATACTGTAGCAACTTCCATTTTAAGTCCATCATTTTTTGTTCTACATTATTTTTCCCTAATCAAAAGCTTCCATGAGTTACAATTAATTTTTACAGCTCGTTGAAATAGTGAGGGAGTGGGAAGAAAGACAGGGAAAACTATGGAGCTGTCGTTAGTCTTCCCCCGGCTCTTTTTCACAATTCCAACAAACCATTTCAGCTATTTTATTAACTTCTGCTTTGTTAAAACATCAAGAGGGAGGAGGGGGAATGCATTCAACTTTCTACTTACGAATGTACATAAAATTCAAGCCTTGGGGATCTGAAAAGCACTTCTGTACACAAAAATCTAACTAAAAGTTCCAAAAATCCTGTGGACTTTACCCTGCATAATGTTTTGGCTTATACGCCTAACCAACGTGATTCAGTGATAGATGGCTACTACAGACGGTCTGAATGATCCAGGTGACTGATCAAGATGACAAAGACTTTTGTCTTGCTCACTGGTAGAAAACAAGAACAGAAACTTCCAGTACAAACATTGTTAGCTGGTTTGAAACTAACGCATACACAAGCTACTAATATGCACATATAAGCTACTAAGTAGGTTATTAAAGTACTATTTGCATGTTTACTTACAAAGACTTACATAATGCTTCATAAACAAGTTCAACTTGTGCCAAACATGGAAGCCTTTAAAGCATTCACCTCTATTAATTATGTTCTCTGCAGAGTCACTTAAGACAACTGGTTCCCTAGCCGCCTTGATTCATGTACAAATTAGATGAAGTAGCTATATAGCTGAAAAATATATTACCTAATATTTATAAACACCAGGTAAACCAATGCAGTCATTTAGGGTTGGCAGCATTTTCCTCATACACTTGAGGAAAATGCTGGGTGAAAAGCCAATTTTAAGGTGACGCTTTGTAGACAAAGACTGACAAATGGGAGAAGAAAGTATGCTCTAAACAGACAGTAATGTGTTAAACTCATGCTTTTTTAAAAGAGGTCAATATTTGTATCTCAGTGTCTGCTATAAAAGTATCACCCTCAGCACAGATGTAGTACTTTGTTCACATTTCAATGTTAGGTATTATAAACAAATTGAGTTTGCGTGCCACACAAAAAAATGTTACCCTCTCTGGAAAAGAAGGTTTTTGACATTGATTTATATGAATAACTAATGCAATGGAGTTTGTTGTTCCAAATACGTATTACCTTTGCATGATCAATGCGAACAGAAAGTTCTTTAGATGCAAATCCACCAAAAATCAGGCTATGGATGGCTCCTATTCTTGCACAAGCCAGCATACAGTACACTGTCTGTGGAATCATGGGCATGTAGATGACCACACGATCTCCTTTCTTCACACCATGTCTGACCATGACATCAGCTAACTTGGAGACCTGTACTGACAAAACATCCACAACACATTAAAACTTTTTCCAGATCTGCTGTTGCTCCATAAAAAACAACTTTCACACAATCAACAGACATAGGACATTAAGGAGACAAGCCAGTATGATACAGAAAGTAGATGAACAATGCAATCCAGGTTCAATAAATTCAGGACAATTTCCTTTTTGCAAAAAACACTGTAATATATCTATTTTTTGTAAAATGAGAATGGACTGATGCTAATTATTTTACACATTAGAGCAAAAAATCAATAGCAATGTTTTACAAAATTTTAAATAACACTCTAACCATTCTTTCTTTTATCCAGATAACTGCTTATATTTCTCAATTCTAGCTTTTAAGAATGGATATAAACAGGGCATTTCATAATGCAAATTCTGTCCTAACTAGCTAAGTTTGAAACACAAATCAATATGTAGTAATATTTTCTCTACTACAGTGCTGTAAACTTCTCAGAACCCGAGACAAGAAATCTTATCCCCTGAACCAAATGTAGTAAAAATTCAGAAAAATACATTTAGATTTAAGAAATCATTTTTCCTCTCACTTTCAGATTTTCATTTTTGGTATGCAGAAGCCTGAAGACAAACAGTGCATGGCAGCAAAGGACTGGAACTCAAGAGATGTTCAGCAGCAACGGCAGCCATCTATATCACCATAAAAAATATTTATTACCTTGACAGAGTATAGTATTCTGTCACAAAACTAGTACTGAATATTTCATTAGTACACCAGGACGGACAACTTACCACATAGTAAGTTCTGTTAGAGTGAGCATGGGAGCGTGTAACAAGCACTGTGCACTTGTCCCGTCCTGTTGTTGCTGCATGGAAATGTGGTATCTTCTGAAGGAAAAGCAAATTACTAATACCCCAAGAGCAATTGAATGAACTCAGCTGTCAAGAGGTTTCTCGAATTCCAGAGGCTGACAGTTGTGTAACACTCAGTATCTAAACCTGCTCACTGCCTTTACATTTTTCAATTAGACATCAGTGTGTAGAGATGTGTACGTAATGGAGGTAAAACTGCACGTAAATGTGCACAAAATATAGGCTAATAGGTTAACAGGAAAAACTGTAGACTAAGAAGAAACAAAGTTGACTAATAAGCTAATAGGAAACAGGATGGAAATAGAACCATCCCAGGAAGTCGTAAACTGGAATACTCCATAAGCATGGTTACACGCCAGTCAGACGTAACACGAACAGTTTTGCTTGCAATAGTTTTACATTAGTGATAAGACTAAAAAATTAAATTCTATAGGAAGTTCTCGGGATATCTGAAGACATATAAATCTCAGTTCAGAACAAAGGAGTTGCTCTGTCTTACAGGGGTACTCTTCTTACCTACCGTAGTAAAACTCTTCTTTAAGAGGTTGCCATTCACTAGAAAATACTACAATAAACTTAAGAAGTTTCAACATTCTAATTTCTTTCACTATCAGTGTAACATGAATCTACTCATATATGAATTCCTCACATCTTACCTGTACTGCATTATTCCTTATTTATTCATTATATCATAGATAAGGTTTCAAGTAAAATTTAGTCTCGTGACTCTTTTCTTTAGGTACTATCAGACTGGAGAGAAAGGAAAGGGGAGACAAACTCCTGAGAGCAGCAGGGGGATGTTGCCTGTAGAATAGAAAATACCCAAGCTTCTGAAGCACTGAGATATGTTTTCAGTGACCCAGCAAATAATGCAAGCAATGGGAGCCGCCTAGGCCAATAATACATATCGTGCAAGCAGGACAGGAGCGAAGGACCCTCTTTTTCAAGGATGAGCTACTCAGGAGTGTAGATTTTCTTTGAAATGTTTTACTTTCATTTATATTATTCATCAAATTTGAGTTTTCTCTATTTAAAGAGTTATCTTATTCCAGTTTAATATTTCAAATTCTAGTACCACTGTTACTTTCCGAGATTTGTAGGCATTAGGCTCTTTCTTTTACGGTCATATTCAAGAAAACTTGGGGCAATTACATCCAATCCTAGAAGCCTATCTGATGCATGTACTGAAGAGGATAATATAGCACTGCTTCTCTCAGTGGGAAGACATGTTCAGACTTTCAGCAACCTGAGACAGTAACACCCAGAAGCTCCAGATGCATCTGACCCGAGTTTGCATTAAATACACAGCTCATCCACAAACTATGCATATTTCTACACTTCTGCCCGAGGATTTAAGAAAATTGAAACACAGAAGCCCCAAGCATGCATGCTTGCATCAGAAGATAACAGCATAGCTTCCATTTTTTATAAACATTGCATAAATCCCTGCTGTTATTTTCAGCTGCAAGAAAGAATATGTTTATAAGGCAAAGACATCATCATACCAAGCTGAAAACTCACACAAACTAAGTTATGTATATGATTTATTTGTAACAGACCTCTTACATTAAATGTTACTGCTTATCAAAAGAAAACATCTTTAATTCTAGACCTATTAATACCTACCTATACTCTATGAAACTGATATATCAAAACCCAAAAAAAATCAACAAGGCCTGGACATGTACACAGCTAGAATTTATTGCCATACCTCCGGCATTTACAATCATTTCTAGATAGGATTGGTGAAAGTACCTGTAAGTAAGGATAACAACTCTAATTCCTTTTCTCTATTTCCTACTGTGAAAACATTAAAATCTGCAAACTCCTTGTAACACAGAGCTAATATCACCTTATCTCAAAGAATTGAGAAAACTTATCCTTGCCTTTGCTGCTTGTGAGACTCTCAAGCAGAGTGTTGACAAAAAGGCCAGAGGCAATGAAAACAATATTTAATAGGTGATTTTATACTCAGTGTAAGCATGGATAGTAGGTGATAAGTAGTTAAACAATGGACAAGTAGTATTCTTCATTATTATTATTTTATAATTATTAATGATGATGAAAAAGGCAATGTTTGCCTGCTAAAGGAAAAAGCATCATTTAAAGTTCATAATTAGTAATTTTGTAATAGAAGACTCCCAGTGCCTGTATACAAGCTATATAACTTTGGTACCTGGCTGCAGGAGGGAGACAGTGAAGAAATCTGCATGTACTTGTGTCATTTTTATTGAAACCTATCATGGGTAAATTGTAAAGCAGACTATATGTAGCAAGCTGCAGACAGGAACCACGTCTTCCATGCAAACCCAGTAATCACTTGCCTGCACTTAACCTTCCCACCCTAGAGAGTTTAATGTCACCGAAGACACTAACCCAATACAATACATGGGTACCTGTGATTTTCCTTGTGCTCCTTCCCTCACCCTTCTGACAGCCAGGGAGCATTTGGACTACACAATATATAATAAAACACTGTCTCTATCTGCACCTATTTGGAGACCAGGGAACATCATAAAGAAGGTTTACATTGCCCTTAAGATTGATGCGGAAATCCTGAAACATCCAAGCAATCACTCTTTCTAAAAAGGGAGGGGGAAGAGTGAGTAGTGACATTTCATTAAACTGTTAAAAGCCATGAAACCTTCCACTTTGTTACAGTGTGTTGTCATTTATGGTTTACATTAAGACAGCATACTTTATCACTCAAGATTTTACAGTTGCTATTTGCCTACCAGCGTGCTATTTCTCCGCTTTCCTTCCAGTTTAAGATTGCTCTATCACTTTAATATATTTGACACTTCAGTAATAAAATCACTTGAGACCAATTGATATACTAAGAAACTCATGCAGGCTTTCAGCTTTGAAGATCTGGGCTGAAATTACACTTCTACCAAATGCAAGCCCCTAGTGAGCATGGCTTTATTTTTACCCAGCCACCAAACAAATACTACATCTGTGTTATCAGCTCAGGTTTGCAGAAGTACTGCAGTTCTGAAGTAAATCACCTGGCTGTCCCCAGTAGTTACAAAAAGCAGTTTTGGTGCATGCCAAAAGAATTCTTCTTAGAAGATACTAAAACAGAAATTCCCCTCCAAATGCTCAAAAGAGGAATTTCAAACCTTCCTGGGTTGAACAATGACTGGGTCAACGCAAGCTAAACACAAAAGAATTCTTCAAATACCGAGAGTTCATGAAATACCCTGAAGTGCATCTCATGATGTAAAAAGAGCCATGTCACATACGCATTCCTCTAAATCAAAGGCAGCAAGTCGCCTTATGCTCTTCAGCTTCTCCACTGTGTCATTTCTCCAAGACTACTAAAGAAAGTACTCCTTGCTGCTTTCCCCCGCCCCTTGATCAGCCTCTTCACTCTTCTATCACTCTTCTTAAGGATTGTTTCCTCTTTTTCCTACTACTGCAAAAGCTTCTCCAGCAGATGCACCACCCTGTTGCTAATGTCAAGACTGCTGCCAAGTGGGAGAGGACTGACAAGTGGTGCTGCATTCATTTCAAATAGATGAAGACCATGTTCTTGATGAGGTGGCAAAACCATGCTTCAGAGGTGTGCCCCTACCACAGAGATCTTGAACAGATGGTCAGGGGAGGGGGAGCACTCCGCCAAGCCCACTGCTCATCCACAGACATCCAAGGACATCCACGGACATCCAAGGACATCATGCCCTTGGTCCCAGGACCAGCAGTCCTGGAACATGGTCCAGGGAAAAGCATGCCTACTCTGCTGCAAACATCTACATGCCTACAACCTGCAGAGGACCCCTGCGAAACAACACGCAGGAACATCCCCTTGGCCCACTCTCTGCCACGGCAGGCAATGGGAACTGTAAACTGGTGGTCCGGATGCCCGCCTGAGTAAAGTGCACGTACTCCTTTCCTATACATGTATTGAGCGTGGGACTGTGTTTAGGAGGTTTCTGGTAGAATTAGGGCATTGATCGCAGAGCTGCGGAAAGGTGGTGTAGGTCTCTGGATTGACTGTGAGAGCTGCTACACCTTGAGAGATGATTCCCCAGGGGCCGTGAGCTGTGAGGAAAGTTCTGTGGAGGAATAAGCTCCCTCGGAGACCACTTGCCCTGTCCCAGCTCTGCCTGTGTGCCAGGCGCAGTCCTGGCAACCGCATAAGCCGTGGACATGGC